ATGCGGTGTTGGCCTCCCAGTGGAATGATCAATTCTGGCAACAGCGAGGATGATGAGATTAGTAAGCGCAAAATTAAAGCCAGGAGAGCAGGGGAAGGAAAAAGAGTTAGATACCCCTCAAGCGTGGCGGTCAAAATGAAAAGGTGTTGGAAGGGGCCTTGTTGCGGTCATTAATAAAACTTCCACCTGTGGCTTGGCGATCTAACTAATTCTAAACTACAGCTTGGTCATTGTAGTTGTCGCAGAAAAGAGGCGGCAAACGCTTTCATGAGAACAGCGGCAATTTGGTCCCTGGTCTCACATACATCCTATGCCCTTTGCCCTCGGCAGCATTAAAATCAGGGCCCATTGCTCAAATTTTATGTGGTCCCGTCTCATTCAGGTACGCGATTAGGTCTTGCAGAATAAGTTAATCTTTGATAATGTGGGTAATCAGGGTTTGAGAGTCTGTTGAGAGAGGTATCAACAATTAATACTGGACAATACTTTAAGCAAAATTATTTTCAAAAGGATGGTCGTGCCTAGATGAAGAAAAATCATTCAAGGCTAGCTATGGCAGAATATGTTGTTGGAGATTTGTGCATGGATTTTCTTTACCCTGCGATGAAAAAAAAAAGGATATAGAGTGGGTAAAAATATAAAAAGGACTTGATTTTAAATAAAAAGAGAACAATAATTTTTTTTAAAATAATGTGGTAAAGATGAGAGATGAAACTATAATTTAAAACCAGTGAACTTGTTATACTAAAAAATAAAAACGAATGTGAAAAAAAAACCAAAACAACCTCGCGACATAAAATATTTATTTTATGTGTATTTACTGTATAATTCATGGTTTTGCAGCGTATTTACTTAACCATCTAATTCTCTTAAAAACGTTTAAGTATAGATGCGAATGATAACTTCAATTTAACAAATGAAAAATACCACTGCATTGAATTTGTTTGAAAAAATTAATTCTCAATTTTTAACTTAATTATAACTTAATCTCATAATTATAACTGGTGACTAATTTTTGGACGAGTCAAGAAATAAAAATCGAGAAATTAAGATATAAGTAATATATTAATTTTTCCATTTTTTTAACCCCCATGTTCAAAAGTTTTCTTCAACTGCATTTTGTAAATGGAATCAGCCGGGACGAGGACACCGAGTTGGAGCGCAGCTGTTGGGCTCGGAATTTTAACACCGCGACAATTGTCGAGTCACATGCCTCCTCTGTTTTTAACAGCCACAGCCGTACAATGCCTATTCACGTAGCCCCTGTTTCGTCCCTCTTCTTGTCAGGGTCCCCCCACCCCGCTTCATTTGAGTTTAGATTTATTATTTATAAATAAAATCAATATGGTAGCAAAATGCATCATCTGGTTAATTATCAACAAAATACTGGTAGTAAGAGAAGTTGAGTGGGGAGGAATTCAATCCCTTTGAAGGCACCTCTTTAAAGATGTGATTATCGATGCTCCATCATTATGGGTGGAAACTGGAAAGCTGCGCTGGGACATTCTAATAAGAAATTGCGGACTATTTAGCGAAAACCTCCAGCCATTTGGAGGGCAATTTTTACATTTTAATTTTTGAATCAACTACTCTCTATTATGGGGGGTTGATTAAAAAAACTAAACACTTTTGTACTAGTTAGCTCACTTTAATAAAATTCCGAGGATGAGACGTGGCAAATGGAGAATGGGTGGGATGGAGAGGCAGCAGAACAAAACTAGGAAAAGACAAGAGAGGCATATGACTCAACGGACACGAACCCAACTCTCCAGCGGAGGCGCCCAAGTCCCATCTGCATCCCACTGGCTATGTGAATTCAATTTGGACAGCTCCAACGAAGCAGGCATAAGCATCCATGCCACGCTTTCCTAGACTCTGATCCTTCTGTTTAGTTACCTTTTCTACGTGTTGGCGTTCCTGACGGTCTTTCCACAGCACCCCCCACATGGCCTTCAGTTCCGCGCACTCCTTTCTTTCCCTGTTTTAGTTTTATAACTCGCTCTCCCTCACCCTCTGACGCATACAAACTCCCCGCCCCTCTTCTTCCACCCAAACGCTGCATCCATCTCCTTTTGACTGCCCCCACATGCTCCACATCCACATATCGGAACTGGTTTGATTTGATTCCCCAGTGCATGCCTCCGCTCACTCCACCTGCTGCAGATTCTCTGACTCTTTCCATTAATCGTATCTACAACCATATGTGTCTTTCATTTAATTTATTCAAAGCCCCGTGACGTGATGATTCATCATCTTTCCGCGCGGCCCCAGCATCTGCCGCTACTTCCAATATGATTCCATCCGTGCGTATCATGGTATTGTGTGTGTGTGTGTGTGTGTGTGTGTGGATACATGCACCTTCGTTAAAAACCGTTCCTGGATATTCGCCTACGCACGCATATTATGATTCTAAAACCGTTTTTTTTTTTCCCTGCCAAAATATATGTCAACTAATTTTCAGAAATCACATTTGATCACGCTTTCACATTGTGCAAAGCTCTGCTCACTGCAATTATTTTCGTTCACTGCCATATTTAAGCCCAGAGCTTGCGAGCTCGGCTCCTTACATCAGCTTCGGTTGCATCCTCTGCGGAGCGCATTCCACAATGAAGACCTCGTCTTTTCATGGCCCACGCAAAGCCCGTAACCCCTTTCTTATACAGGAGAAAACAATATTTAACTCGAGTTTGTTATATTCATGCCAGTGGGATTGAATCTAGGAAAACTGTTTAGTTTTTCATAACGTGCCGAATCAAATTTTTAATCCCGTTGAGAAATATGACCACATTTGGTATTTAATGGTGCTTCAAGCATAATTGCCTCCAAAAAGAAGATATATGTGCCTTGCATGAGTTAAAAGTATATGTAATCAATGAGCGATGGATACAATACTGTACTGTTTAATAATAATATTTATAAAATAGGACATATAACCAGGCATGATTGAAGAATCAGACACGATGAACATAAAAACTTGACCTAGGTAATGTTTAAAAAATAAGAAAAATTTAAATTGGAAAAAAACCGCGGAGATCAAAGTGAGCTGCTTCCTAAAATGGTCCAGTTCGGCTGAAATTAAGTAGCCCATAGAATCTCGTGTTTAATTGAGTTTGAAAGGGCCACCACAAGCGAAAGCCACATTTTGCGGCTGAACGGTCTTTCCTCATAACAGACCTTAGGTAGTTGAAACACGAGGACGCCCAATTATAATGGATGATCGATCTCTGGCCCAAAAACACGATCTGCATGCTTTATTGCTCTGTGAGTTCATTCTTGTGGGTAGTTTTGGATGTTTTAGATAACTTGTAACCGGTGCAGTTGGCAATGGGTTTGGATTGGAAAAACACTGGACTCTGGAGCCCGACAATAATATTCTTCTTGCATCTATCTACAAATAGAACATGCAGTCCGCCGTAATCCTGGACAGATCACCCATGAGCCCCGAACGAGTGCAACTGTCGGCCTTGTTTGCTGGATCCTTTTTGTCTGCAAGTTTTTTCTGCGTTTGGGCTCGTGCATGCTAATGCGATGCATGGTAAGAATGATTTAATTTTTTTTGACCTTGAAGAATGATTTAGGAAGTGTTGGATGAAATCAAACCATGATTTAGAGAACAGCTTCTGAAGAATAGATTTTGTGAAAATAGATTTTTTTGACGAATAGATTTTGTAAAAAAGTGATTCTGATAGAATGAGAATATTTGGATAATTGTTATCAGAAGCATTTTTATATGTACAAATTACTAAAAATGACATAAGTTAATATGATAATTACATAAAAGATAGATTTTATAATATATTTTTATCTGAAATAATAAATTTTTAATAGTATATTTTTTGCCAACACAATAAAAATATATAAAAAATGTAATTAATAAATAATTAGTATGCATATATGTATTTAAACTTAAAAATTTTAAATATGAAATCCCATAATATTTTTTTACAACTAGTTTTTTTAACGATATACTAACTCTGATCTTTAATATAAGAGCTATTTTGATATTCAATTGGTCTTCGATATAAAACTCCAATACATTTTATTTATTATATTTATCTTTTTTTTAAAGTAGTCTTTGTAGTAATTATACATGTTAAATATTCATCAAATGGTACTTCTAGCAAATACATATGATTAGAAAGGATATTTTAGGAAAGACAATATCTATTTATTACAAATAGTTAACTTAACTAATTTTCTTAATCTACTCAAATTAATTACCTAACTCTTATATTAAGGATTGAAAGTAGTATTATAATGTGAAAAAAAAAAAGCAATTTTTTTTGCTTTTCATGAAACCATGGTTTTGGAGGCCAAAACCTTGGTTTTAGACCAAACCAAGGTTTTCTGAAAAATAATTTGAGAACTTTAAGAAGTCATAATATGTTAAATAAATGGCCACTGTTAGTAAGTGTAACAATGAAGGCTTTTGCTGAAATCAAAGGAAGGCTTTTTTTTTTTTTTTCAGTTTAAAAATGTTAAAATATAAAGTAAAATAATGTAAATTTAAGGAATCCAAGTAAAGGATCAGGAATGCACTTCTATTTTAAATTTAAATTAATAATAAAATAAAAATTTAGCAGAATTATGAAAAAAAAATCAGCCAATTTATTCAATTTAAAGTAAATGCAAATTAAAGGGTCGGAGAACAAATACCAGTTGAAGCTGTCAAGACAAATGAGAACACAATAAATATCTTTAGGCTAAAAACTAACAATCATAGAAATAAGAACATATTATTTATTTCTTTCTGGCAAAAAAAAATTACTTCCTTTATTTTTAACTTTTGTATTTCTCTCATCTGATGCACTTTACGCCTTCATGCCTTGAAGATCTGATGCCAACATGAACAAATGTGGGGGAAAAAAATGTAATCCCTACGCTGATTTTCACTATTTTCTCTCTTTTCCCAGCGTATCTATATCACATACAACGTCAATGTCAAACTCAATAAATCGAGTTCGTGGACAAGAATAGGCAATAATTCGCACAGGCAGATAGTCTGAAGCCGGCGCCAATTTTTGTCCAGGATAAGGTTACTTCTCTCCTTGGCTTTGTGGCTTCCGCGGCCTCTCTCCTCTCTTCCCCCGGCTCCAAGAGAGAGAGAGAAGAGGATTCAACTTAATCAACCCTAGCAATGGCTACACTTCAAGCTTCACTTCTCTGCAAACCTTGCCTCTCATTCATGTCTTCCTCGCCCCCAAAGCAACGACTTTTTCACTCTATCTCTTCGGCACCTCACCACTCCTCTCTTTTCCCTTTCAATCCGCTTAGCCTCTCACAGCCTTCCGTCCGTGCATTTAGTTCAAATTTTCGCAAGTTTCCATTTCGCCCGCGCGGTCCACCTGCCTCTTTCACATTTCGACCTGAGAACGAAACTTCGTGGTCAGAATCGAATTCTTTGGGAGATATTTCTAATTTAACTGGCAAGGATTCGGATGTCAATGAAAATGTTGGGGGGCGATTATATGTTACGGGAGACAGTTCGGTTTCAGATTCAAAACAACCGAGCGTCGACGGAGTTGATGCTGGAAGCTCTCAGATTGAGTTGCAGGGTGATGCTGGGGAGTTAACTTCGGAGGCTGCTGGAGGGGGAAGTGAGAAACGCGTAGAACGGGAAGAAAAGAGTACACATGTGGGGGAAAAGGAGGTTGGCGATAGATTGCCGATAGTGGTGTTCTTGGTGGGCCTGTGGGCGAGGGCGAGGGATGTAATTCAGAAGGCTGTCACTGATTTCTTAAATTGGTGGCCTTTTTGGCGGCAGGAGAAACATTTGGCGCGCTTGATTGCTGAGGCTGACGCAAATCCTCAAGATGCGACAAAGCAGAGTGCTCTACTTGTTGAACTCAACAAGCACAGGTTTGGCCCTGCACTTCTATGATTTTGCCCCTCCTCTGTTCTTCTATTCATTCATTTATTTATTTGGCGAATTCCTCTGTTTGTTAGAGAGGACCGGCTGCAAAATCAGAAACCTTGTTTTTGAATCTCCGTGAAAATAATATCACCCCGAGCTCTAAAAAGTAGAACAAACTGTTCATAATTTTCTTACCTAAATATTTCTTTTGCATGATTAGTTTTCAAGATACTGCATTGTATGCTTTTATTGTGAAGCACTTGGGTGCCCAGACGATGAAATGGAATAGAAGAAAATTAGATAGTCAATTTCGACTTTGAAAAAAAAAAATAATAATAATAAAGCGAAGAACTCTGCTCATTTAAACATATAAAGTTGGCAAAATCACATTTTTATTCATACCAAGACCATGTTGGATGGATATTTTATCATGTTTCAGAAAGTAGACATACTCAACGGGTTAGGTTACACGCCCCATTTTTAAGCTGAGGTTCTGTCAAAATTCCTTACTAATTTTAATAATTTTTTGTGTATATGACCCATTCAGTTCTATATGAACTCTCTCTCTCTCTCTCTTTTTTTTTAAGTCCGGAGTCTGTCATCAAACGTTTTGAAGAAAGGGATCGCGCTGTAGACAGCAGAGGAGTTGTAGAATATCTTCGAGCTCTTGTGGCAACTAATGTTATTGCTGAATATCTTCCTGATGAGAAATCTGATAAACCCTCTAGTCTCCCGACCCTGGTAATTAGTTTGTATGTTAATTTTCTTGCCATACTTTCTGTGCTAGCCCATTCTTCATTGCTCCTCTTTTTTTAATTAGCCGAGGAAGACAGTGTCACCTTGTTTTGCTATATATTTATTCATGGATTCGTGGAAATTGGTCTGTCCAACATAAAAAATGTATCCATTCATTTATTTATTTGGGCAATTGGCAAAATATATTTGTGACCTCTATGATTAGAAATGTGTCCAATTGATGTGCGTCTGACCTTCCTGGTGCACTGTTGAGTTGAAGATTTGTGCAGTTGTTGTCGTCTCTTCAAACTTGTCCACCATTTCCTTAGTAAGAGTCTTATGATGTAAAATTAACTGGATGGTTTTGTAACTCCAAATTCTATTTAGGACTGGAGGTAGTATGCAGGATCATTTTGATTTACAGGCTACATGCTTCATGCTCTGGAGCTTTTTCTTCCATCAACATATAATTTTATATTGTTTCAGGAATTTCCCAGTAGATGTAATTGATTAATGGTTAAAATGCGGTACATTATGGAACTGATGGTAAGTTTAATTTTGCAGTTGCAAGAGTTAAAGCAGCGGGCATCAGGTAACATGGATGAGCCTTTTCTGAATCCTGGAATCTCTGAGAAGCAGCCGTTGCATGTGGTTATGGTAACATTTACTGCAGATGGCATGTTCTTGATGCTTTGTATTTAATGATCACTTGTTCCTTGATTGTAGGAAAAAAGTCGAGCAAGATTTTATTTCTTAATCCATTTTTCCTCGTACGTTTGTTCTATAACTCACAAATGTATTTCCTTCTTAAGGTTGAACCAAAGGCATCAAACAAATCACGTTTTGCGCAAGAACTTATCTCAACAATCTTGTTTACTATTGCTGTGGGATTGGTTTGGTATGAGCATCTAGTTTCCTTCTCTTTTTGTTGCTCTCGTGTATGATATCTGCTTGTTACTGGAATTTTCATCTGTGGTATTCCAAAATATAATTGCTTTTCAGGTTTATGGGGGCTGCTGCACTCCAAAAATACATTGGAAGCTTAGGTGGGATTGGAACTTCAGGTGTTGGCTCAAGTTCCTCCTATTCCCCAAAGGAGTTGAATAAGGAAGTGATGCCAGAGAAGGTTGACTTCTTAAGACCTAGGTTAACATTATCTGATTTCTTTCTTTCAAATAGCTGCTTCTGTGATTCTCAAAAACAAGATGATCAAATTAGCTTAGGAATGGCTATGGCCAAATTTTGTGCTGCCACGGAGAATTTTAGTGAACAGATCAAAAACTGTCAAAGGGAAAAATTTACGACCATACCATTCTACATGATATACATAATGCGTATGGTCCTTGTTCTTGGTTTATGTGGTTATATTATAACATGGTATTTTCCATTGGCAGTCAGTTTGATGAGCTTTCTTGTACTTCTTAGTCGATTTGGTACCTGTATAGTGTATAATCCTTGTTTCTGGTTCGTCTCATCAGGTTATAATCTGCTATATCATATATGTAGAGATATTTGTAAGCTTTGTTGTATGTTGTGGTCTTTTCGGAATATTTCTTTTTTTTTTTTTATGTTTTGGAGGACTTCTTGTTCGTCCCTAAGATATATTTATTCCCTTTGCTTTCTAATAATAACTAATCAGTTAAATAAATGCAATTCAACCAAACAGCCAACCGTAAATTAGGCATATTTTCGTCTCCCAAAGTTTTGTTATTTGTTATATGCAAGGTCTTGAATGTACAAAATGCCAACAAATAAGAAGCTTTTCTATTCTGCCTTTTAAAATCTCTTTATCTTTGTGTCTATTCCTACCTTGCAGAATGTCAAAACATTCAAAGATGTGAAAGGCTGCGACGACGCAAAGCAAGAGCTTGAGGAAGTTGTGGAGTATCTAAAAAATCCATCTAAATTCACACGCCTTGGAGGAAAGTTGCCTAAGGTTTGTCCAATTTTGTTAGTTTTTTTTATTCTGCCTTTAATTTGCTGCGTGGCAAAACCAAAATCTCCCCCCCCCCCCAAAAAAAAAGAGGGAAAAAAAACACCTGGCAGGGGAAATATTCTTCTTTACCCCTATGGATTTCTCATTTCTCAGCAAGAGGTCCTGGGTTTCCATATTGTTGCGAATTGTGTGATATTCATAGTAATGCACAAGCTAGCATTTGTAATCATGGTTTATGTTTCTTATTTCTAAATTTGTTCCCTAACATGCCATGCTGATGAATTTGCTTCTCTTCTCTTAATAAGCTGTCATGCCATTTTAATTTGCATTTGTTGTTTCTGTTGTTTACCATGGGAGCCTGAGAAATTCCATTTTACAGGGTATTCTCTTGACAGGAGCACCTGGAACTGGAAAAACTCTGCTAGCCAAGGTCAGTTAGTTCTGGAACTGTTCACACTCAAACACAATAACTTTCAGGAAGTTACTGTCATTTAAAATTAGAACCATGTAGTCTGCCTATGTCTATTTCTGTTTTCACTATCGTTGATGTGACCCTTCTATATGCATCCCGAAAGTGTTTGGAAGTACATATTTTACTTACATGTGGGTGTATATGGACTCTTGAATGTTTAAGTTTCACTTCTTCTCTGGCTATCAACATTCCTTGAATCATTTGATGATGGAGTGGTCATTTTATTACTTTCACTTCATCTGGTCCTTTCCTGAAAACTGGATATTTATAATTAATCTTTAGAATATTTGAATCTCAAGTTAAGGATGCAATGCTTTTTTGTTATGGGCATTTTGGGTTAATCCAATAATTGGTTCTGAAAATATTTGGTTTTTCTGGAACATTGAAGGCAATTGCTGGCGAAGCAGGTGTTCCTTTTTTTTATAGGGCTGGATCTGAATTTGAGGAAATGTAAGTCTTTAGTTTTCTTTCTACTTTTTCCCCCTGTTAAATCATGGGGCCCGTAAATTGTTTAATTAGGCTGCTGCAGCTATAGTTCCAGCATTCTTATCATGCATATCTGTAGCATGTAACCAAAAGTAATTAAGATACACTAAATGTTTGGTTTTAGGGATGCTTATGTTCATATCACTTTTCATATGCATTGTAGGTTTGTTGGGGTTGGTGCTCGACGAGTAAGATCATTATTTCAAGCAGCCAAAAAGAAGGTTTGTTGCTATTGACCAATGCTGTCTTCAAATTCATCTGTATTTTGGTTTTCTCTGTGCCACATGGTTTCCCTTACTAGTGTCTGCTTGTGTGACATGTTTTCTCCCCTCTCTTTTTTTTAGGCTCCCTGTATTATTTTCATTGATGAAATAGATGCGGTTGGATCAACAAGGAAACAGTGGGAGGGCCACACAAAGAAGACGTTACATCAGCTACTTGTGGAAATGGATGGCTTTGAGCAGAATGAGGTATCTTCAAACGTTTTGGACCATCGATTGTTCAAATTTTCTTTTCCAAATTTATTTATCATCTTCGTTGTGCAGGGAATAATACTAATGGCGGCTACAAACTTGCCAGATATTCTTGATCCAGCCTTAACAAGGCCTGGTAGATTTGATCGACATGTAAGTTCTTTTTTTTTTGAAAAAAATAATAATAATAATAAATTTAGATGGTTAATTTACTTAGAGAAGAAGGGAAGTGCAAAGATGAATCCTCCAAGAAAAACCAAAAAGCAATATAACAGAGAGATAAAGGGGTGAAAAGAGGCTCACTTTGGGACCATATATTATTAACGTTACTCTCTAAAACCTTGTCCTTACTCCATGTTTCAGTGTGCTTAAAACTAATATATATTTGTAGACTTGCCTGTTAAAATGTTGCAAATATTGTCTTGAATGACTGTTTAAATTATTTTGCTGTACATAGTATAGAAAACTAACAATACCCCATTCTAGATTGTAGTACCAAATCCAGATGTACGTGGGCGCCAAGAAATTTTGGAGCTCTACTTGCAAGACAAGCCTTTAGCTGAAGATGTAGATGTGAAACCATTAGCTCGTGGGACACCAGGATTTAATGGGGCAGGTGGATTGTTGCTCAATAAATTCAATAAACATTGCATTACTGTTAATGTGATTCTTGTCCCCTTTCAAATTCTTGCTGCTGATGTTCTTGATTGTGGATCCTTAAATTAGATCTTGCAAACCTGGTAAACATTGCTGCCATTAAAGCTGCTGTTGAAGGTGCAGAGAAATTGACAGCTGCACAGTTGGAGTTTGCGAAAGACAGAATAATCATGGGAACAGAGCGTAAAACAATGTTCATATCAGAGGAGTCAAAAAGGTATGCCTATATACAAAGATGTCCAGTTTGGTAATTGAGTGTGTGGCCTATGAAGTTCATGTATCCTATGTATTGGGCTTTCAGTCCTGACAATATTTTTCATGAAATGCTGCACTAAATTAATTTTAGTTTCAAGATTTGTCCTTGCAATAGGAAATTCATTGATAAGTGGGTTTAAGATGGCTTGCATAATTTTCAGCTTACTGCTTATCATGAGAGTGGACATGCAATTGTTGCCTTCAATACTGAGGGTGCGCATCCAATTCACAAGGCAACAATCATGCCACGTGGATCTGCCTTAGGAATGGTCACCCAACTCCCCTCAAATGATGAGACGTCAATCAGCAAGAAGCAGTTATTAGCACGCCTTGATGTTTGCATGGGAGGAAGGGTTGCCGAAGAGCTTATCTTTGGTCAGGATCATATAACAACCGGCGCAAGTAGTGATCTTCATACAGCAACTGAGCTTGCCCAATATATGGTAAATTTATGCCCCCAGGTTTACTGCCAACAGTAATATTTCTATCAGATGAACTAGGGGTCACTCCCCCCCCCCCCCCTCCCTCCCTTACTGAATTGACATGAAATTGCTTTGCCATCTTCAATCCTAATCAATTTGCATTACCCACCAAATAAGTAGTGAGAAAGTCATTTAAACTTTGCCCAAAAAATGAGTTAGATCTCTCAGCCAAAATATTTGCAAGACCTAGTTGCAGCCAGACTTATCTTTCAAGTATAAAATGGCATTTAAATCTTTTTTTCGTTTTTTAAAACTTTGTGGCAGACTTATGTTTTTCCCCGTGTTCAAGGTCTCAAATTGTGGTATGAGTGATGCGATTGGACCAGTTCATATAAAGGAGAGACCAAGTTCTGAAATGCAATCACGAATTGATGCGGAGGTTAATGTCCTAAATTTAAACTCTATTCTGATGATGTAAATCTTGTTTACACATTTCTACTCCCTCTTCTATCCCTTTCGGGATCGTTCTTTTTATTATCGTCAGAGGAAAAGGAAAAAAATCATTAAAGTTCTCATTTGGATTTGAATATTTTTCCTTTGCCGTGCAGGTTGTGAAACTCCTTAGAGAAGCATATGACCGTGTAAAAGCCCTCTTAAAGAAGGTCTGTCAAAATATGTTATTGTCTGTTCTGAATCTTTAATTTAAAAGGAGAAATCTCTCTCTCTCTCTCTCTCTCTCATGTGAGGAAGTGGATCTCACTTCACTGTTTATGTTCTCTTTAACAGCCTGAGGTTTGATTTAGCGAAATGTAAAATGTCGCATCTTTGTGATCTTTCAAATCAGTTCATTTAATTTGCTATTGAATAAGGTTACAAACACAAATAAAGGCTGCAAGGCTTTCACTGAAAATAAATGCTTTCGCCCTGATAACTTGAGACATTGTTTTTTCAGCATGAGAAGGCATTACATGCGCTGGCTAATGCATTATTAGAGTACGAGACACTTAGTGCCGAAGAGATAAGGAGAATTCTTCTCCCACACCGGGAAGGACGGTTGCCAGAGCAAGAAGAACAAGAAGCAGAAGGGGAGCTAGTCCTAGCCTGATATTTTTTTTTTCATCTTATTTGTAACTAGGGGGAAGCTCTGTACAGTATACCTGGAAGTCCTACAGGTATTAATCTCAATCCAATTTCTGCTGTTTCCCTTCTTTGTGCATACTATTTTTTTGTCGTTAAATTCTTATAGAAAGTAAGCTATATCTCTTGGAGCATATTTGGCACAAGTAGCCTTCCGCAAAATGACAATACTCAACGGTCACTTGTTAGATTATTACCCTTCTTTTTTGGGTGAAAAAACTGTGGAATTTGTAAAATCTTGCTGTCTAAAGTGGTTTATGAATTTATTATTTATTCTGAGACCCGAGTGTGTGTTGGCAAGCTTGAGTCGTCACTTCAAGAATGGAAGAATAGACTTCAACCTCCCAGTCTCCAAGAGCACTGATGAATTGTATCCCTAAGATTGATGGGGATTTTGGCGGGGCAATAGCGAGAGTTTTGAACGGGCGGCACGTTTAGTCTTAAAGCAAAGTCGCCTGTTTGCAGGCCCCAAGATTCCAGTCACCATCTGTCACCAAAAGACACTATGGCTCCTGAACTTTGGCAAATGACAAGCATGTCCTATTCTTATCTTGTGTACTTATTTCTTTGTTACTGGTTGCTGCTGCTGCTTTTATATCTTTTTTTAAAAAAATAAAATTTCAATATTCGCACCATCAATACTGCAATTGGGTTTCGCTGGCTGAAAAAAAATACAGCATTTGTACTTGATTTGCCTGTGGAAAAAATTGTATTTGGTTTGTTTATGTCGTCGAACTGGGGAAGTTCAAGTTCCGTTGAAGCGCCTTGGGAGTCACTATTATTTGTAGTTTTGCTAGGATTTCACTCTTATTTTTTGCATGCCCTGCAAATTTTAAGCTAATTGAAATATATTTGGCGGGGCACATTGCTGCCAGTGTATGAGTATGATAAGCAAGACTTCCAGCGTTACCGTAACAGTCGAATCCCGAATTACCTTGTTGGCAGCAAAAATACTACAACATGCAGCTTCAGTTCCGGCCTTACTGCACAACATCCCTTTTGGTCAATTAATAAAAGGAGAATTACAATTAGATTCCATTTAAAAAAATTAAATATAAAAAAATCTCTTGAAATCATGAAATTATTTTGAAGTTTTAAAGAATTTTTTTGCAATAAATTTTATTTGTTTAATTATCAAATTTTTTTTTTTAAAGTTTGTATTAACAACTGAAAGAGCAGTAGTTGATAATTTAGGGTGTAAGGATTGAAAACTATCCCACCTGATTTGACAACCCATTTTCTCAGCATATCACACCTTAAATTGTTAAAGTAGTCGCGATAGTTGTCAATTCTTGCACCTAAATTGTTAACCACTACTGTTTCAGTTGTCAATGTAAACTTTTAAAAAAAATTTGATAATTAAACAAATAAAATTTATCGTAAAAAAATCTCTTGGGACTTCAAAATAATTTTATGATTTCAAGAGATCTTTTTGTATTTAATTTTTTGAACGGGATCTAATTGCAATTTTCCCATTAATAAATGCAATATTCTCGTTATTGAGAAATGTTATAAAAAAAAAAGTAAATACGTTTATGTTCCTACTCTTCCAACATACCAAATCAAAAATAACCTCATCTTCCGGCGACACCCGAATGCGGAGAAATAACACGCTGAAAGTTGCACAGAAGCACTTTTAATCCACTGGATAAAAAAATCCGGAAAGAAATCGCTATATGTAATAAGGATGAAATACCATATGACAAATGAAACGAAAATCCCTCCTACTCGAAACTCGATGACGTAGCCAGAGGCCCGTTTCTCTTGCTTGCCAAACAGGAGAGGCCCCGAAGCTTCATCCACTGCAGCCATGATCTCAGCCTCTGCTAGTCATCAGCTCCCTATATCCGATCAATTGGCTCGGCGCGGTCCAGCACAGCTTGACCTTCTGAGATATCAGCGAGTGATTTGAGATTGCATTTAATTAATGCTTCAACAAAATACTGTAAGACCCATTTTTGTATTGTAAATTTGGGTCTTACATTGGGACAGAGGAGTAGTACGTATCGTCCCTGGTGTTTCCCTCAGGCACATCCACCGCAAAAGATTCAATTACCAGTGTGGCTGGTCATCCATCAATAATTTGGGGGCGAAGCGACATGATAGACGAGTAATTCTAGATTGATAGCTAAAAGTTTTGTTTGGGAAAGAGGAAAAACGCACCCTAATTTTGATGCCCACACAAGAACCAATGCCACAACGCGCCTTTTATCCTTCAATCTCCATGACAACCACCACCATTAAGTAGTGATGCAGAATCGAATCAATCCGAGGCGCTCAAGACTGCGCTCACGGGTCTCCGATCACCTGCCGGCGAAAGCTTCCGGAAAAAGCAACCTATTTCAGCTGAAGACGATGTGTGCCTTGTGCGAGACTCTATGCCACCGGCAAACTACCGGTAGCTCCTTCATCATCTTGAACAAGATTGTGTGAATATAATTGTTTCCAATGCCCAGAGTCAAACTGTCAAATGAGATTATTAACAGCACGCCAGCTTGTCGTTTCTGCGGCCGGATGCCTGTTATCTGGATGAACAACGACGGGGAGAGAAAATTTTTTATAGTATTTTTTTTAGAATTCTTTTATCTTTTAAATTAAACACATTAAATTTCTCCTCACCTTCCTTCATTTCATAATTAGTAATTACTCCTCCGTTCCTTATTATAAGACCCCATTTGACTTTTTATTTGGTCTTAATTATAAGACCCCAATCCATTTTGTCTCTTATATTTATACATTTTTTCCAAGATAATCCTTCTAATAATGATAGTTTTAACTAATATACTTAATTAGTAAAGATATTTTAGGAATGACAACACTTATTTATTATAAAACTAACTTAACTTACTTCTTAATCTCCTCAATAAATCAATTGGGTCTTATAATTAGGACGGAGCAGTACTAATTAGTTTCATAGGTGAACAAGTTCTCTCCCTCGTGAGCGGCACTCTCTTTCTCTCGCCAGCGTGACATACCGTGATCGGCAGGAGCGTGAGCGAAAGTGATCGGAGGTGAGGAGTAAGGAAGGAATGGAAATAGATTCAGAACGATCGAGTAGAGCGACGGAGCGTAATGGAGGAAAGACGGTGGATCTAAATCGGGATGCTGGAGGAAGTAATCAGAGAAGTAGGGCTCTCGTCAGGAAACTGACGACGGATAACCGATCAATCGCAACGCTGTGATTACGGCAGTGAAGAAAGGCAACCTAAGCATCACAGATGTGGAGCCAAACGTACTCGTATTCACTTTTGAAGAAAGGAGGAAGACTGGAAGAATTCTGAGAGGAAGACCATGCATGATGGCTGGATTGTTGAGGTAGAGGTAGCTGTGGAATGGGTCGGAGCCAATGGTAGTTATAGCAAATGGGACCCTCGACCTCGTATTTATGTCGGCTCAAAATAAACTTATATTATAAAATAAATTTTATGTTTAAGACACCAAAACGTATTAAAATATCACTTTTTTTAATAGGAAGTAACACGTAAATATCTGTAAGTAATTTGTTATGTGGAGAGTGAAATCAATTTTTAGAGAAAGGAATTTTCTCGCTTGTTGGCCTCAACGCGAAGACGCGGACCCCTTCCTACGAACATCACAATTGGATCACCAGCGATCTCCCACAACTTCCATTTAATTGCAACTAATTGCAAGCACAGTCATTAGCACAATTGCGGCGAACAACCATCAGAAAATTAGAAAATTCTGCGATGCGATTCAGGACTTCATTCCTCCGACAGACCCTATATTGGAGAAATATATATATACTCCTCCGGTCCTTAATATAAGATTCATTTAACTAATTTGATTAGATTAAGAAAGTTACGTAAGTTAGTTAATTATAAGAAAAGTGACATATTTTTTCTAAAATACCATAATCATCTTTTTTAATACCCTCTCTCCCTCTTCTACTTGATTATGATTGAGGGAGTATCCATAGAGGTAATTTAGAAAAAAATGATAAATATGAAAAATGGGTCTTATATTTAAGACCAAAACCAACTTAAGAATTGAGTTCTATATTAAGCACCGAAGGAGTATATATATACACACACATGGAAGCCATGAAATGCTACAACCCAAGTCTACTTGGTTTGAACCTTGAAGAACAATGAAAGCTACTACCTTCAATTCTAATTATAAAATTTTGTTTATTGGCCAAAAACAACATTTTATAACTATGAAGGGAAGTACTTTTGACCTGTGAGAATAGGCATGTGTCAGAAAACAGCATTGTCTATCCCAAAAGCAGAGGATCCTTATCGATCCAATTATACCACTCAAAAAACCTACGGAATTATCAAGAGTCAAAGAGGATCATTTATGTTCGGTCCAAAAACAAAAAAAAGAGAGGATCGTTTATGAATTTTCAAAGACTATTTTGCATGAGCGGTCACATCAACTTACAATTCTATACTGTGCAATGATCATCTAACATGGCTTCTCTGCTTCGCCATCTCCATCTACCATTTCTCCTGTACTTGTTTTTGGGGTGTCATTCTCCTGCATCTCAAACCCACGCTTTTCGGTTGAACTGAGCAATGTGTCTTCCCTACGTTTTCCAACATCATCAGATGCCTCATTTGCTACTGTTGTATTCTGCAGGAGGTCGACCGGAGTGGCTGCCGGATCCAACTCCCGACAACCTTTTGGGGCATTATGAGCTTCTTGTCCTGTAAGCAAGTAATAAGGAACCTGATGAGAGAAACGAAACAACTCATCTTTAGGAATCCGCCTTAACCCATGAGGGTCTCTGTGCCTATCAAACACGCTCCTAAATCCGGCAACCTTAATAAGCGGGAAAACCACTACACCTTGGTCTTCGTCAAAATCTTCAACCACCTCTACCATGTCATACTTGTGTATCACTTCATCTGGAGTACGTTGGCTCCAATCTGGAGACCAGTTTCTGTAAAGAGCCCAAACCTCCCCCTTTCCAGGAAAAATGCGAACAACTCCTCTGAGGCCTTTTGACCACTTAACCTTGTGTGAAAAAGAATTTAATGATTCAGTTATTTCATGCTTGCCAGTTCTGAAATCCCCACAGGTTTTGCAAAAACCAGAACCTATCCAATCTATTGGACCCAGTTCACTATTGCTTCGAGAGTTAAGCCAACTGATCCGCATCTTAAATGGCTTCAAGGACACCACTTTGTAGATTCGAGCATAATACCGAGGCATCCCATCATCATCATCATAAGCAGCCCAGACCTGGTCCTCCTCGAAAGAATTTTCGGTTCTATCCAAGTCAAAATTGCGAAAGTCTGAATCCGGAACATTGATCGTTATACAGGTTTGGTCTACCTTAATTGAGTCGCTGTCCAGATACCGGCTACCATTAAAAGCGGACTCACCATGATTCTCCAAATCAGGTGTTTTGTCATTCAATGTGGCTTTGGTTCTCTTGTTCTGTTTGTGCTTCTTGGTATTTTTAGCTTCAGCTGTTGATCTCCATTCTTGAACCTTCTTACGAAGGTCGCTTCGGGCCTTCTGCATCAACATGTTCCGTATTTCAAACATTCCTAATTCTCTCATGCTATGGGGCTTGCTGGTGATACCAGAAAAGCCAGAGGTCCTTTCTGTTTGCCAGCTAACCTTTCTTGATTCAGAAACATGACCAAATCCTGCAGCCCCATGTCCCATGGCCAAATGATTACTCATGTATCCTAGATCACCATTAATGCGAATCTCATCTGTCCTCCTCTTCTTCGATGTCTTTTCTACCTTATTAAAGGAACCTTCAGCCCTCTTCAACATTTGACTCCTCTCCCATTCAGTAATTGATGGTGTTCTCTCAGAGTCTTTTGCCACTTTCTCACTTGCCTTCTGCACAACATTTGCTGCTTGAGCAGCAACAGATGATGAGCTATCTCTGCTGCCGAAACCAGCCGTTTTGGACTGAGGACCCCACTGAGAGCTTGCCCTCTTAAACAGTCTGCCAGAGGAATCGCCGGCTCCTGCATATTGAGAAACTGTACAATTGCTTCCTGGATTATTCACTGCAGCATCATGTTGAGATTTCTGACGCTGTTGGCTTGACCGATTTGCGGACTTGAAAATATTGGGAGGCGGAGGCATATCTACAGCCAAGAAATGCTCGTTACAGGTGGGACAAATAAGGGTATGATTCAAATAGATCTTGAGATATTCATAATGCGTCTTGCACTGTTTACAGATTGTCCAGAAGGTACTAGACTTTTTCGGTGGGGGAACTGAGGTGGGTTGTAAACGACATTTATTATTTCCATTCCTCACATTTGTAGTCACATTCTTGTTGAAATTATTAAAACCATTTGAACATGGTCCTTCTGACTGAGATCTGACATGGTTGGAAGCATTGTGTTGAAATCCTTTCAAACTCATATCCTGGTTATATGCCTGTCTCTTGTCCTTTTCTGATAACATACTCCACGCCTCCGAAACCAGCTTAAAAGCACCTTCTGCGCCTAAAGACTTGTTAACGTCAGGGTGAAGAGTAAGAGCCAGCTTTCTGTAATGTTTTCTTACTGTCTCATCATCAGCGCAGGGGTTCACTTTAAGTATACCATACCAATCCATTTCTCCACTTACTTTAGTTTCGGAAGAGATGTAAACATCAAGAGTAGTTAAAAACTGAGAAATACCATCCAATGTAGGACAAAGATTTAGAGCCTTGAGGGCAAGCTTTTTTGCACCAGCATATTCCCTTTCTGAAAATTTCTTTTCTGCTAGTTCTTTGGCCCTAACTGCCTCATCTTTGTTGCACTCCATTTTATGGTTGTCTCAGCTTTGGATATGTTTGTCTTCGCCTAGCTATGACAATAAAGAATTCTCTACAAGCATTGGATGTATTCACTTTGATTGACGAAACCACTACATATTGTACTTGATTGAAAGAAGAAAATGAAGCACGGACTGCAATAAAGATGAAAAGGCAAAAAAGCATTAGAAAATGAGCATGTAATAAGAAATTTTTGGAAGTCATAATTGGAACCGATAAAATGCCTCCAAACTCCTCTGACGAAAGCCTAGTACTGCAACAGAGATGCTGAATCACAGCATAATTTTGAGTTCGGCGAAGTATCTAATTCACAGACTCTACTAAAACATGTAAAATAAAAATATATACATTCACAAGTAAAACCATTGATGTCTTCACTGAGATTTCCATATGAGACACGTTTCAGTTCCAGGTTATAAGAATTACTATTTTCTTTTCACTCTAAACATCTTAAAAGGGTTATTAAAATCTGACAACCAGATGGGTGGAGTTCAATTAAAAATCAAGAATTTGAAAGCTAAGTTTTCAATCGAGAGGGGAAAGCTGAAATTACCGGAATATTATTTTGTAATTTTCAGGACTAAAGGATCCAATATCAAATAGCAACCCCCTTCTCCCACCCAAAGACAAACAAGAAGAAGTTGTTTTCACATGCTGCTGCCAATAAGAAAAGAAGCGTTAAACTACGGTATATCATACTCGCCTAGAATCTATTTCGATCCCATAATTGCTCGAGAATGGCAGATGTCTCGAAAGAGAACAGATTTCTTTCGATAATCATTCATAAACTAAACTCAACATGATTTTTTTTTTTTTTGGGGGGGGGGGGGGGCGACCGGGCGAGGACATGCAAGCATCATATATCACAGATCAAATTTCCAACTCTATATCGTCATAAAGCGGAAAGCAAAGGGAATTAGACATATTAGAGTCTAACATGGTAGTTATAATTTTTAAAAAAAGTACAACAGTATCCCAATTAACAAGCAAACTCAAGGCCCTTCGCAAACAAGGCAAGCGCGCAGATTCAGAAAGTCAAACCATGCATTATTTCTCGAGAGTCCTCATGCAAATTATGGAGCAAATGACCGGGAGGAGGAAAAATAGAGAAATGTTGAAACGATACAATGAGAATATTCAGAAATCAACCACTTTTCAGACAGAGTTTAAGCCGACGAAAGCCCGCCTTGGATCTACAGGGGCATGCATTTAGAAAGCTTGTAATGGTCAAAATTCTCAATTGGAGTTCTGTAATTTAGTAACCCTAGAGACTGATAAATCCCGAATCCAGCGAACAAGTTAACAGCAAAAGCATAAACTTTGGCGCCGTGACGATGGTGTTGATGAGTAATGAGAAAGTAAAAATACCGATATTTTTGATTGAAAAAAAAAATAATAACACCGGATTGGAGAAGACCTGTGACGTTAGAGAGTTTGAATCTGAGGCCACTATCTCCTGATCACCATGTACAATGACCCATCTGCCAATGCTCACGACTGCTGAGAAACTAGAGAATATAATTGCCCCATTGTGAAATGAAAAATAAAAATTTATTGGGAACTTTTATATTGCATTCAAACCCAAAATACTTAACCATAGTTAGTTTTTAACTCTAAACAAGGGGTGGAATATTAGCATTAATGGCTTAACCCGCGCTCATATATTAATCATTATCCATCTAGAGGGGCCTTGCATGCATCACACAAGCTAGGCAGCAAGGTAAATAAATTGCCCTATATATAATTCATAAATAATATTATCAGTTTTTATGTATTTATTACTTCCGATTCTAATTATAAAACTCGTTTATAGTTTACAAACAAAATCTTATAAATAGGATTGGAACTAGTATATTGATAATGATAACTGTATTTGTCATTTCATTTTTATTGTTAATTAATTTTTTAAATTTTGATAAAAATTTGTAATAAATAAGAACTTTCTATGTTTTGGAGTATAATTTGCTTATTAGAGAAAATCAAATTTATTTTTTTTATCGCACTTAGCAAAAGAATTAAAAATGCATGCATTAAAAATTATCATACATAGTATACTAAGAAATAAGCAAAACCACATAGCGGTGATGCTGATGCATGAACAACTCGCCGTGCGAGATATACACGAAATCGCGTGGTTGACAAATCCTTAACAATACATCACATTTTGGAGTCAGATGCACTGCCCTGCGCGCTCTAATACACAGAAGAAAAAAAATTGTATAATAAAATTAACATGTTTATTTTATTTATAAATATAATTGGGATGGTTTTGGACGGGTATTTGGGAATTGGGAGGATGACATTCTAAGAGAACGAATTAATTAATAACGGTTGAGTATTTGAAAATTTTTTTTAAAAATGTAAATAATGACTTAGGCAATTACAAGATAATATTTGAAATTTAAACATCTCATTTGCAATTAAAATTTCTGAATTTACGGTTATCTAAATCAATACTATTTACTCTTGAAAAAATTATCAGAAGTCTAACTGTTATTAATTCAGTCATTTGGAATTTTATTATATTTTTCCCTGAGTATTTTGAATATTTCACAATATCGACCCCAAAAAAAATCACAATATCAAGCCAGAATAAATATATACTCCTCCGGTCTTTAATATAGGACCCAATTTTTAAGTTGGTTTTGGTTCTAAATATAAGACCTATTTCTCATATTTATCAATTTTCTCTAAATTACCCCTATGGATATTCCCTCGACTATAATCAAGTAGAAGAGAGAGAGGAGGTATTAAGAAAGATAATTATGGTGTTTTAAGAAAAATGTGTCACTTTTTTTATAATTAACTAACTTATCTAACTTTCTTAATCTAATCAAATTAGTTAAATGGGTCTTATATTAAGGACCGGAGGAGTATTTCGCAAGCCTATGGCACTGCATCTAAGATAAATGGTCATGTAACGGTGTGCCAGCTGATCATCTGCACAATGCCGTTAATGAATTAAAGGTTGCTGATCTAATGCATCATGGTATGCGGAGGCTGCAGGAATTCATAATTATAAATTTTATGATCTGTAAATGAATCACCCGACAGAATACTGTTTAGTTGGCCAACAAAAAGAAAACATTTTATGCCCTGTAAAAAAATATGCCTTGCACCTGTCAAAAAAAAAAAAACTACATGCATTGAAGATAAATAAGTTGATATGTCCACCTTCGATTCAGTCGCTTTGACACAGGATGTGCAGTCAGCTTGAAACTATTAGATGTGAGAAAAAGTTCCGTTTTCAAAAACAAAAAATCCATTCATAACTATGTATTTTTAAATATAATTCTTCTGCTGCTGACACTGTTTAGATTCACAGCAAATTATTTATATTGATACTTTGTTATGTCCAGAGAATATCAACAAAACATGTGATTCCAACTCTGGCCATCACAATATAATGCCAATTGCAACTCGTGACGGATCCCAGCACATTCCAACAAATCATTCTGGATAGAATACGCTAATGATCAGAGACGAAGGAGCTTTTACACGGAAAACCGAGTTGATTCAAATAAGGGCCTGAAACTTTATATATCAGAACTGCAAATGCAGTGTTATTCATTCTCCATGGCTCTATATAACCATTAAAATATAAAATCAATGACAGGTCAGATCGTGACATGTCATTGATCAGAGCTTTCTCGTTTAAACAGCAAGGAACAAAGTTTGGCGTGAGATTAAAAGAAAGAACAAAGGGGGGAAAAAAAAAAGGTCACGAGGAACATAGGGGACTTGGAGCTGATATAGCCGGTCTGATAAGTAAATGGACGAGTATAAAATTAGCAGGAAATTACTACATATTTGATCATATTCTATCTTTCTCCATGGGAGATAGATGATGAGGAACCAAGTTTGTTCCCAGTCTTCTTAGGAGATGTTTGGATAGAAACCAAATCATGGTTTCAGAACTGATTTTACAGTCTACAAGGTAAATATGTGGAGGAGTTTATCTCGATTTGCAGAAAAATACTTCTAAAAAGCACTTTTCAGGACATCCAAACACCCCTTACTCTTAAATCTTACTCCCGTGAATTAGCTGTCATTTATTTTTCACTAAAAAAACAAGAGAGAGAGATTGAGGGTGCGATTCCTCATTTTTGAGAAACACTTAATTTAAGGAAAAAATAAAAAAAATAAAAAAATAAATCTTAAATAAAGGATTCAATAAAAATTTATTGTTATTTATAAATCAAATGTCGTTATAAAACCTGATTTAAAATTTGGTAATTTTACTTTTTTATTATTTTTTAATTTAACTAACAGTGGAGATGCCCGAAAGGCCCAACGGAGCTGGAGTCGTCCAGAAACAGAACGTGATTCCACCCGTGGACCGCCCGAATAACTCTGCTGTACCATCCGTAGTTCCTGCTTTTGGTCTCAAGCCTCCCATTCCCCTCTATCATCAAGTCCACATCATAAACTTCTCTTAAATAAATATAAAAGCGCTGATCTAATTTTATTTATAAAGCCTTTGTGACAGGTTTTATCAAAATAAAAAAATAATTTTATTCATTTTTTCTTAAGATCTAAGAATTTTGTTAATTTTATTTTGATAAGGTAACAATTTATACAATAATAAATAATAAAATAGAGTAGAATTTGGGCTACACTCGAGGAATCAATCCAAATTAATAAGCCATATAAATTTTAAAGCAAATAATGAAAGAAGAAATTTTATACTTTGCGTAGCATGAACAGGACAATGCATATTATTATTTAGAATTTCTAATAAAATAAATTAATATTTTGGAAAATTGGCTCAGATTGAAATGATTAAATTATATTTTGTTGTTCAGAACAAAATTGTTTGTCCTCTTCTCACCCTTCTTTTACCCGTAATCTTCAGTTACATGTTTCCAATTCACATAGACTAAGCGTTGACTTTTCGTTGGTACCGAATAAACACCAACCTTGACTCGTCGGCAAGAAATTACCACTACTGATTGGGACAATGCAAAGAGAAACTGAGATTAGGTTTTAAAAAAAATTAAAAATACATTTTATAAATTTAAATAATTAAACAGAAAGTTTATATAAATTTATGAGACCAAATATATGTTCTAACTTAATTAAATGCGTTGGCCAAAAAAACTTTAATTAAATGCATAATTCTAGCTCTAACTGACTAGCTGTGATTTCTTACTGTCATTCAAGTCAATATTATAAAGATATATTTATGAGAATACTGAGATTTCCAATAGCAAGAATAAAACCTTAAAATTAATTAAAAATGAAAAAGAAAAAAAATATATATTTCACATTAATAAGACTTTTAGACAGAGAAGATTCTTATTTTTTTTTTGCCAGATAGGCTGAGAGTAAAATATACTGTGTAGGCGTGTTTTAGTTTTTTTTATTAAGACAATTATAATGAGATTTTAAGAAAAAAATAATTATTAAAATATCTCTAACAACACAAGTTTCAAAATAGATTTGTTTTGTAATTTTTTTTGAGATTTTACTTCTTTTTTAATTTTGGCGCCCGACCAGGGAAAGATGAATAAATAATCCGGCGAGAGGGGCGCGTTTACCTGTCAAGATAAACAGACTTGACCGGACATAAACGACCATAGACAACGACGCATGTCTGAGCATTGGGGTCCCACAAAGCCGAGAAATTCTTGCCTCATCCATCATCAACGACACCCGGAGTCATCCTTCCCAACCCCGACTCTGTGGAAACACTGGATATTTTTTTCTCTAATCAATTTAAGGGGCGTAATGACTTGGTAGTCTTCCTTCCCAAACCCGACTCTGTGTTCCGCATACTTCCTCCTCTTCTCCCCTCGTCCTTGCTGTAACTAGTATTTGAACTTTCAAGGCTTCAAATTTCTTGCTTTGCTTCCTCAGCTTCTGGAGTTCTCGTTGGGTACCCTTCTTCTCTGTCTCTGATCACAATCTGTTGTTGAGTTTGAATTTGAACGTCTTTTTCTTCTTCTTCCTTCTCCCCCACTTTCAGTTATAGTTTAGTCCTTTTATCACCAACCCGGCAACTTAAAGATAAATTTATCCTCTTTTTGCTTTCTATTTTGCGACCGTTTCTTTTTCTCAAACTTTTGTTATACAAAGTTAGTGACCAATGAACGTTTACAATTCTGTTATTGACGGTTAGGGTTTAAAGGCTTTGCGCTCCCCCCCCCCCCCCCCAAAAAAAAAAAAGTTGGACATTTAGTTGAAAGTTACATTTGTAGCTCTTACGTTAACCATTGTCACAAGTTTTAATTCATGCATCCTTAATATAAAACTTATTTAAGTAATTTAATTAGATTAAAAAAGTTAGATAAATTAATTAATTATAATAAATATGAAAT